GACATCAGAGGGAGGTTAGGAGGCTGTCCCGCCTAACCAGAGCCCAAGACAGGGACAGTGGTGGCAACAATACCCGGAGGCAGTGGTGAAAAACTGCCCCTTCAGGTGCCAGGTCAGGAAAAGGAGGGGTGGGCAGAGCGGGGTCTGCCAGCTGATGCGGGCCCGTTCCACCACAGCACTGTTTCTTAGCTTCTGCATGCCTTCACATGCCCACATATTCTGTAATATGGTTATATATATGGGGATAACTACATTGGTATATTACAGGGTGCCTCCTCTCTTACTGCGATCTGTAATGTGGCGAGATTTAGCAATGAACAACAATGCAAGGGTGTTGTAAACCATCATTTCTCAGCCCCACTTCCTCTTAGCAGTTCTGCATTGGGAGCAAATAATATGCTTTGACCTATGAGGTGACAAATCACCTCTGTTTGTCTCTTGCCTTGAAAATCCTATGGGGTTGCCTCAAGTTAGTTGCAACTTGATGGCACTTTCCATCACCACATTTACAGTGTTGTCATAAGATCCTGTCAGTCTCAGCTCCTCCACTGTGCATTATAGGCACAATGTCACTCAGTGTGCCATCACCTCCCACCCCATCTGCATCTGCAATAAGCAGTGTAAAAACATACAAGAGCACAACAAAAAAGGAGAGGAGGAGGAGGAGATTGGATTTATACCCCGCCCTTCACTTCCCAAGGGAGTCTCAGAGCGGCTTACAAACTCCTTTCCCTTCCCCTCCCCACAACAGACACCCTGTGAGGAAGGTGGGGCTGAGAGAGCTCTCACAGAAACTGCTCTTTTCAAGAACACCTCTGACAGAACTATGGCTTGCCCAAGGTCATCCAGCAGCTGTGAGTGGAGGAGTGGGAAATCAAACCTGGTCCTCCCAGATTAGAAACTGCACACTTAACCAATACACCACTACACCAAACTGAGAGATCTGTTCCACAAGATCCAAGGAATTAAAGGGATATTTAAAGCAGGGCTGGGCATGCTGGAAGATCAACATGGAAATTCATTAACTGAACAGAACAAAATAAAGAAAAAGATGGGAATTTTAGAAACTGAAGCGAAAGCTTTACTCAAAACAGTCGGGAGAAACAAATCATCAGGAGTAGATGGGATATCAACAGAGCTATTTCAGGCCACAGAAACTGAGTCCATCAAAATCTTAACAAGAATATGTCAACAAATATGGAAAACAAAGCAATGGCCCACAGACTGGAAATGCTCGATCTACATTCCAATTACAAAAAAGGAAACTTTAAAGACTGCAGCAATGATCTGACCATTACATTAACTTCTCATGCAAGTAAAGTGATGCTCAAAATCTTACAAGAAAGACTATTACCATATATGAAACAATAAATGCCAGATGTTCAAGCTAGATTCAGAAAAGGAAGCTGCACTAGAGATCATATTGCTAATTTACATTGGTTACTGTGGCATGCAAGATAATTTCACAAGAGAATCACTTGTTTTTCATAGATTACAGCAAAGCTTTTGACTGTGGATCATGAAAAGCTACGGTTGGTTTTTAAAGAAATGGGTGTGCAATGACACCTGATTGTTTTGATGCACAACCTATACTCTGGACAAGAGGCCACTGTTAGGACAGCATATGGAGAAACACAATGGTTTCTAATTGGCAAAGATGTCAGACAAGGATGTATTTTATCTCCCTATCTTTTCAATCTATATGCAGAACATATTTTAAGGAAAGCTGGATTAGATTTAAATGAAGGTGGAATGAAAATTGGTAGAAGGAACATAAACAGTTTGAGATATGCAGATGACACCATATTACCAACAGAAAACAATGAAGACTGCTGATAAGGTTAAAGCAGAAAGTACTAAAGCGGGATTACACCTGAACATCAAGAAGACAAAGTAATGACTACCAGGGAGTTACACAACTTTAAGGCTGATGATGAAGAAACTGAAATTATACAAGATTTTCTATTCCTTGGTTCAATCATCAACCAGAAGGGAGACTCCAACCATGAAATCAGAAGGAGATTGGGAATGGGAATGGGAATGGGAAGGGCAGCCATGAAGGAGCTAGAAAAGTGTAAGGATATGTCACTGGCAATCAAGATCAAGTTAGTTAATGCCATAGTATTCCTCATTACTACATATAGGTCCCGGTCATACGGGCCGTAAAATGTGTGTGGGGGGGAGTGTGGCAGTTTGGCCCGGAGCAAAATAATGCATGGCTGCCCGATCACACGTCCTGTTGAGGTCCTGTGGGTAGGGGTGAGGTGGCAATCACACGACAATCTTGCAGTGTGGCAAAGAAGCAGTGCGGCGCGATCTCGCCAATGGCATGCACGATTCTGCGGAGCAACGAAACTTTTGCTTTCCTCTTCGTGCGTATGCACCGTTGGGTGCTTGTGCGCATCCTGTGGAGACTTGGGGAAAAAAAACCTGTTTGTGATGGGACATGGGTGGGTGCCAGATGCCATGGACTATCACCGGGAACGCGATCAGACGCCAGCCCTTGCCCCGCGGTTTCCGGAAACTAGTACCTCGGAGGTACTAGTTTTTAACTCCACATCTTCGGCGGGAAGCCTCGGGTTCGCCATGGGAGCTCTACGTTTCTCAGATGTTGTGGTGTGATCGCGCCCGGAAAATCCGTCTATCATCCGTATCTCAGTAGCGTGGCTAATGCTCCGTGTGACCTCAGCCATAGATATGAAAGTTGGACAATGAAGAAATTTGATTCATTTGAAATGTGGTGTTGGAGGAGAGTTTTATGAATACCATGGACTGTCAAAAAAGACTAATAAGTGGTTCTAGAATAAATCAAATCAAGCCTGAACTCTCCCTAGAAGCTAAAATGACTAAACGGAGGCTGTTGTACTTTGGTCACATTATGAGAAGGCAACACTCATTGGAAAAGACAATAATGCTAGGAAAAGCTTAAGGCAAAAGGAAAAGAGGAAGACCCAACATAAGATGGATTGACTCAGTAAAGGAAGCCGTGGCATTCGGTTTGCAAGGCTGTTAGCATAGGATGTTTTGGAAGTCATTAATTCACAGGGTTGCCTTAAGTAATCAGCCTGACAACACTTAACATACACTCACAGTTTCTCCCATGCCAGCCCTTAGTTTGGGAAGCATTTGCAGGGTAAGTGAATTTCCAGGGCTTTTTTAAAAAAGGGAGACGGAAGAAGCCCACACCTGCAGTAAAGAATCCAGCCTGGGCTGATGTTTGGCAGGCACTGAGATGTTTTTCAGCAAGCATCTGCTCCCCTAAGTTTCCCTGGCCTGGATAGCCCAGGCTAGCCCGATCCCATTAGATCTCGGAAGCTAAGCAGGGTTGGGCAACCTCCAAGGAATACCAGGGTCGCGATGTGAAGGAAAACAATGGCAAACCACCTCTGAAATGTCTCTTGCCTTAAAAACAAGTCTAGCTTGCCACCTAGTGGCACATAACGCTAAAGAGCTAGAACTTTAGGTTGCCAGACAATCTTAGGATCTTCTGGCTATTCTACACACAATGCCATACGATAATAATTATTAATTATTATTGTTCCCCTAAAGTATGCATGTGTCGTATTTCATACTACTGAGTGCCGAGTCCACAGCACGTCCTCTGTGACACACCACTCTTCCTTCCTGTTTATTGCTTCACTTCTGCATTCTTTCATAGAAAAACTCATACCATTTTAAAAGTGATGCAAACTTTACTATTTAAGGTCTGACCGAAGCTGTGTGCCCTTCCATTCTCTTACCTCCTGTCCTATATTTCTTGTAGTAATTTTTTTAACCACCAACTAAAACACATCCATTTTATTAACTGGCAGCCTAGATTCACAATCTCACTAGTGGTTTCCCATTTCTGAGGCCTTTTTTCCAGGTTACTGAATCCAATTTATTCAGAGATTGCGAGAAATATGAATGTTACAGTGACTAATTATATATAGATAGATATAATTACAGATTAAAAACAGAAACCAGCAGTTTGAGCGAGATTAAGTACATGTGAATGGCAACTGCGTGAAAAATAAGAACCGGTACATAAATCAGATGAAATGCAGCTATGCTGTCAGTTAGGACACTGCCTTGGATTCTTGCAGAGGTGACCCAGAAAAGACAATTAAGCCAGTCAGGTATTGTTCCTTTTTATGAGCCATCTTTCATTTCTCTGAAGAAGTGAGGCCAGTGACTCACGAAAGCTCATCCCCTGCCACAAATTTTGTTAGTCTTTAAGGTGCTGCAGGACTCTTGCTCTTTTCTGCTTTCTTTTCATTGTTATTCCCACATCACACAGCAGATTTCAGAAAATTTGCATCCTTGAGAAGATATTTCCATCCACCATGCTATTCGAAAGTATGCATTTGGTCACTAGACTGCATTTGGTCCATGCATTTGGTCACTAGACTGAAAGGACTTTGCTTCCGCCAAAAAGGGTTCCTAACCAACATCTGCTGTCATAGCTGTTCTGTCCTCTAGCATTGGTGACTTCAGGAACAATCCAATTATTACACAAAGGAAGAAAATGGCATCGGTATTGTTTGATGGGTCTGGTTAGGTTCTTCCTTTGGGGTGGGAGGCATGATGTGTTCCCACAGATGCATCCCTCCAGTATCTGTACAGGAATTCAACACAGAGACAGACCCAAATGAATAGTAATGCACTCTCATGTGGAGACTGGAGACTGTTCAGGGGTCTTCGTTTGCTAAATCCAAAATGTTTCCCAGGAGGACTTGGAAGGTGGGGCGTTCCTCAGCTTTCTGGAAAAAATGCAAAAGCTTCCATGGATGAATGCAAAACAAGCATTTAAATGCTGAACAAGTACATTAATAACGACAGCATTTTCATACCACTTTCAATTGTCCAAAGTGTTTCACAAAAATTATCTTGCTGTTATCCCTAAAACAACCTTGGAAGGTAGCCTAAGTTATTTTTTTAATCCCCATATTCTTGATGGGGTGCTGACACTGAAAGATGGACTTGCCTAAGGTGACCTAGCAAGTTTGTGGCAAAGACGAATTGAATCTGGGCAGTCTCTTAGCTACCCAACTACACCAGCTCTCATTTAAAGATAAGGGCTCCATCAGCAGAAGGTACTGGAATGGGTTACTGCAGACTGGACCAGATTCATATTGGAGGAGGTGCCCAGATTTTAACCTGGCACCTCTATTCCTGCATTTTTTTCCTTTAAAGAACAACAATAACTTTGTAAAGCAGGCTAGGCTGATAATTAGTGACTTATGGCTGACTAGGGCTTCCCGGTGTAAATCCAATACCCCGTGCATGGCATCATGCTGGCACTCTGCCAATGCATTGCAAGTGCCAATGAACCTTTGCAGAAGAGTTCATGGCTCAGTAATAGATCACATGCTTTGTATGTGTAAAGGCTCAGGTTCCATCCCCAGGGTCTGTAACGAAAGGATCAGAGGTGGCAACAGGGCTGGGGAACCCGTCTGCTTACTAGAACTGTTGCCAACTAGAAGAGACAATCTTGGGCTAGATAGACCAGTGGACTGCCTCTGTGCAAGGCAGTGCCTAACAAGCTTTTCTAACTGCCCCACACTTTGTCCCTTTGCCTGTCATGCTTCCATTGGTTAATCCACCATGATGTCACAGTAGGGCTCTGAGATGTTACAACCCCTCACACTGTCATTGGTTTAGCTGTTCTGAAGTCACACACGCTTAGGCTAGGTAGTTGGTTGCTAAGAAGAAACTGTAGACTTTAGAATAGGAACTCTAGTGTCACTAAATTAATGGGTTGCCTGCACACCATGGCTTGTCTCATTGTGGCCAGGGTCCGACCTACCTGAGGGACCGCCTTTCCCCATATATACCCCCAAGACCACTTTGGTCGGGGACACAACACCGCCTGGTGATTCCAGGTCCCCAGGAGGCAAAGCTTGCTGCGACCAGGGCCAGATCCTTCTCAGTGGCGGCCCCCACCTGGTGGAACGAGCTCCCGGAGGAGATCAGGGCCCTGCGGGACCTTATGCAGTTCCACAGGGCCTGCAAGACGGAGCTCTTCCACCAGGCTTTTATATAGGGGCCGCCATTTCTACTACTACCACCACCGAAACAACGGGGCTGGGAGCGGTCCCCGAAAGAACTGCCATAAATTTGCATGGCACTGATGCTGCTGGACTGGCTTGGACTATCGATAGGACAATTTCACCTAAGGAAATGATCAATACCATCCTCAGAGACCATCTTGTTTGTATGGAGCACTATTTGTTTTGTTGTGATTTAATAGTTTTTACTGTTTTACATTGTTTTTATGTATGAGCTTATGCCCCTGTGTAAGCCGCCCTGAGCCCGTTCACGGGGAGGGCAAGGTAAAAATGCAATAAATAAATAAATAAATTGTAGCTGTTCAATGAAGATCCATTAGCCAAAGGCAGATGGCACTGGCTTGCGGTGAAATGTTCAGAGAACTTTGGAGAGTGCAACTGCTGCCATTTAAGGCAAGAGGAGATAGAGGCTAGAGGATATAGATATAATCAGAGAAGTCGAAAGGTTTAAAAATGAGGACTAGAATCTTGAACCTGATGTCAATGGAGGCAGGAACCTGCTACAGAAGGAGAGGCAGAGAGATGTGGCTGGGAGGGTTTTATATATTTTTTAAAATATTCAGCTCCAGAATTCATTTGCTCTTTGTGACATGGTGGGATGAACCTTGTAATCTGCTTCTCCTTTAGAAAGCACAGAGGGAGCTCTCAACAGCCTCCCATCTAGACACAGATAGGGTCCTCATCTCCCTTATGTTGTGCTAATGAACTGCATGCTTCTGTAATACCTTGGGCCTAGTAGCTCTAATTGCATACTATGCTTCAGATATTCTAATTCAGGACCACCATTAAGCTTAGTCTAGAGATATAGAACAGTCAGGCCTATTATGCATGGGTGTTTTCCCTCGCTTTCACTGTGCATGTCTGTGGGATTTTCTTTCTTGTTCTGCACTGATTTTCCTCCCTTCAGTGCTTCATTTGCTTTCTGGTCGCTGTTTTCCTGGGTTTTCTGAGAGTGCTTTTGTGCTGATTTTTCCCTTGTTTCACTTCCAAGCCGAAGGTAAGTCAAAAGATTCCCTCAGATTTCCCCCCTACCCTTCTGTTGTCCCTCGAAGGTCACTTCCCTGCCCACATTGAGGTCCTCCTGCCCACTCTGCACCTTCCACCATCCTCCCCCTTCATCGATACACAAGCTCCATTTACCCCGTGTTTTTTAATTTGTAGGTTTTTTGACAAGTGGCATGACTCTAATGATATGAGACTATCGCTAGTCTTGGATCGCTAGATTTAAAAAGATTAAAGGGGGGGAGTGTAAAAGAAGCTGCGCAAGGTTTAGTTCCCTGCTGGTATTGACTTGAAAGGGGGGGTCGGAGAGGAGGCAAACGGCAGCATCCCCAGTGCAAAAAAGAAAAGAAAAGGATTTCAGTGCTTCCTGCAAACAAAATAAAGGGGGGGATCATCACTATGGAATTAAATTGACATGAGCTGTAAAGAGAGACAGGCACTGGTGTGGGATGCCTAAAGCCTTGATAACATTTTTCCCTTTAATACTTTAGTGAACAAAGTGGGGGGGGGGGCATGTTGACAGTCTCTGGAAGCCTAACATTAAAATGGCAGCTGAGCCACATGGACCTTCTGCAAACCACCGAACCTAAGAACTGTTTGGAATTTGGAGGACAGAGCACAATCTGCACAGGGCATGCTCTAAATAACTGCCAAAATCGCAACCAGTGTGCAGGATCAAATTAGAGCATCACAAAGAGAAAACCACACCCATTTGCAAGGAAGGGCAAGAAATTAGTATTACTATGTAGCTGCACTAGGGCATTGGCGAAAATACCCCCCCTTTTTTCAATTTAGTGGCACAAGACTAAAAAAGCTCTCCAGAGCTTCTGCCAGAGGCCTCCTCCTCCATACAAATGGCAACCCTGTGCAAAGCATGGTGGAGTTGCAACCAACTTTGCAGAGGCACGCACATGCACACACATTGCCAACAATCACAGTTTTCAATGCTAGGGTCGGTGGGTTCTACCATGCGTTCTGTTCACTCAATACGTTCCCCAATATTATGAGATCGTGTGACTCTTTCGCTCCACAGTGGCCAATAACACAGCAGAGGATCCCTTAGTACTCAGCAATACGGAAAAGGGGGTTGCTCAGCTGCTTGTCAGTTTCAAAAAGGCCTAGTCAGTTTCAACATTGGGTTTCCTCCCTTTGTCTATGTTGCTTTCTGTTCCCTTTCCTTCACCGAACTAATGCTAAAATCATATATGCACAAAACCTGAATCACGAAGATTTAAATGGAAAAAGCTTGCTGGACGCTACTGCGCAGCTCCAATAGGACAAATGCATACATTTTTTAAAATCCTTGGGACCCCCCCCCCCCACATCACAAGAAAAGTGCATTTTAAAAATTGTAGCTGCAGAATAAATACACTGGAGGAAAAATAATGGTGCGTAAGGTGGTCTCTGAAAATCTGCAGTAAGGTGTGGGTGTGTAATGGGCCTTGGGATGGTGGTGGGGGATGCCTTACCTCATGCCAGCAGCTGTACATAATGCTGTAGACTCTCTCAGAAGCCAGCTGGGGGCGATAGAGACAGACGTAGGGCTGTGGTCACATGTTCTGTTGTTTCGCTGTTGGTAAACCTCTCATAGGGCATCTTCCCCAAAGTATAAACTTCCCACATTAGAACACCTGTGAAATCAGAGAGAAGCAGCGTAACAGGACTGGGGAAAACATATCTTACTGGAGCAGGTTCTTCCTGATCTGGATTGCGCCCATTCTTATTTATTTATTTACTTCATCGGTACCCCACCTTTCTCCTCAATGGAGGCTTACATTGTGGCTTACATTTTTCTCCTTTCCTCCATTTTATCCTCACGACAAACCTGTGAATCAGGCATGTAAGTTAACCACAGACATGCTGAAAGTGATCACAGCCATACTTCCGATGAAAATTTTATTGTGAAGCCAGCAGGATATATTAATCTATGGCACCAGACGTGGAAGCATTCACCAGGATCATCATCATATTTCCAAGGGAAAATAAAAGATAGCAACAACCAACCCAGATTTTTAAAATTAGTAAATTGTAACGTTTTAATTAGGGGCATCCAAACTTTTTAGCCCGAGGACCACCCTGAAGTAACCATTTGGCAGGCTGAGCCAGATCAGAGTCTACCCCAGCTGCTCGAAGACCTCCAAAGTGGGGGGGGGACAGAGTCTTCCCCTTTACAGACAGGTGACTCACCAAAAGCCCAGACATCCGATTTGCTGCTGAACTTGCTGTACAGAAGAACCTCTGGAGGGGACCAGCGGACTGGAAATTTGGACCCCATGGAGCTAATGTAGTCATCGTCCAAGACGTATCTGTAGACAGATTTGAGTCGTGCTTGGTCACTTCAGCCTAGTTCTGTGAGGTGATAGAGCCTCAGCCGTACTAGTCTACAGGTAGGGGCTGTCAAGCTCCCTATCAAAAAGGTTCCATGGCACACGGAAAATTAGCACATCAAGGAAAAGCTACTGTGGAATCCTTCTCACTGAAGTTTGTCTGTGAAGGGATTTTTTTTCCTTTTGGGTATTTGTGTGTGTGTATGTTGGACTCGACTGCGACTGAACAACAATGTGTGTGTGTGTGTGTGCGCGTGCGTGCTTGCAAGCCTGGAAGTCATGGTGACTTCTGGCGACCCCTAGTGGGGCTAGGATGTTTCAGAGAGGTGGCTTTGATATTACCTGCCTCTGCGTCCTGGCCCTGGTATTCCTTGGAGGTCGCCCTTCCAAGTACTTGCCAGGGTTGGCCCCGCTTAACTTCTGAGATTGGGCTTGCCTGGGCTATCCAGGGCAGGGCAGGAATTTTCTTTATATGGTGGCGCATTCTATCATGTGAGCCCCCACCCACAGACTGAAGTGCTACAGCCCAGACACAGGTTCACCAACTCAGTAAGAACAGGGTCACTGTCTGTAGAGTTGTCCTTTTTTGCCTAGTTCCTGACCCTGTATCAAATTTAAAATGGGCAGAAACTCAGAGGTGGTGATGGAGACAGCTTCACCTGGTGAATTGCTGTCCACCATCCAGCTGTTGAGAGTACTGCTAGGGGGGGAAAGGGGTAGACATTATCAAGGTAAGCTCTGACTATTCAAAGTATGTTTCGCTTAATATCAGTTGGGTCATAGAGAAAGCAGATGTGACATGCCTGCCTCCCCCCCCCCAAAAAAAAAATACTGCACAACCATTCAAGGAGAGAAGGGTATAATCTGGAAGAAATTGAAAGAAGAATTATCAGAAGGGGGGGGGCTGTCACACACCTCAGTGTTTTATTCTTTTCCCCCCAGACAAGATGTCTTTTGGGTGGCTAAGACAGGGCTCTCCAACCTTTCTGAGACTGGACACCTTTAGAATTCTGACACAGTGTAATGGGCACAGCCATAAAAGGGCTGCCACACAATGGCTGCCGCAGCTTACTTCCAGTCACACAGTGAAGATCCTTGTGCTGTGGTGACAGCTGCTGCCAAGGTTTGTGTAATGGTTAAGACTGCAGACTCTAATCTGGGAGAACCGGGTTTGATTCCTCACTCCTCCTCATGCAGCTGCTGGTGTGACCTTGGGTCAGTTACAAGTTCTCTTAGAGTTGTTCTCTCACAAACAGTTCTCGAAAGAGCTCTCTCAGCCTCACCTACCTCACAGGGTGTCTGTTGTGGGGAAGGGAAGGGAAAGGAGATTGTAAGCCGCTCTGAGACTCCAAGTGAAGGGGAGGGTATAAAATCCAATCCCTTCTTCTTTTCAAAGCAATGTTTTTAAAACTTTGCACTGCCAATCAAATTATCCAGTGGCCAATCAGAAACCATGCTGGGCAAAAGACCCACCTGGCCCTATGCACTTTCTAAAAACAATTGGTGGGCACCAGGACGGGTGTTGGCAGGCATCACGGTAGTGGGTGCCCATGAGCAGCATGCAGGGGATCCCTGGGCTAAGGACTCGAGGTCACAGATGTGAGGGCGATCTGGCTGCGACATCTGTCACCCCATTGGTTGCCAGGGTTGATTCGACTTGAGATCACACTCTATTCTGCACCCATGACATCAGCTTGAAAGAATTTTAATAACTGGATCATTCATTTTTTTTCAAGGAACTGATCGTTCGTCCTCTTTCATTGCCAGCTGATTTGATGAAGGGGACTCTGAGCTGGCAGACGGCCTGCTGATAGCTGGGATTCTTTCTTTTTGAATGAGATGCCCATCAGACCCTGGAGAGAGACGTTCTTTTAGCTGAGGGACACCGAGAAGAGCCCTTTAGTGTTTTTTGAAGTGGGGTGGGGATATGAGACTTTCTAGCTGGAGACAGTGGGAAACGGGTGGGGTGGCGCAGGCTGGGGCAGGACTCCCTGATCACTCCCTGAGGCTCTGCCTGGCCGTGCCTCTATGCCCCCAATGGAAATCTGCATGTATAGCTGTAGATAAAACAAAACTAGAAGACTTCTCTCCCTCTTATCTAGAGGAAAGTAACCCACCCGCCCCCACACACCCCTACACTCACACACTGCCCCCGGAATTTCCTCACCACTCGGGCAAGT